AATACTGGATGACCCGCATGAGATTGTCACATGGACTAGCGTCATGACTTGAATCTCATATGGCGGGTCCATGATTGGATCCTAAGACCTGAGATATCTACGGAATCCAACATGAGGAGTTGTGTGCTTTGAATACATCAAACGTCCTGCGTAACAGGAGGACTATAAAGGCGTGTATCAGGTACGAAACGAATCATTGTTGGATTGTAGATAGTCAAGATGGGATTTGTACCTCTCGTAAAAGAGAGAGATATCGTTGGGCCTCTCGTGTGAGTGAGACTGTAGAAATGTGTGGCCGCACTATAGACGAGCGTCGTCTATTTCAAACAGTCGAACTCAGTGAACGAGAAAGCAGTCGAATAAGATCCTTCCCTGCGTGGGTGACCCTGTAGGCTCATTCGATATAGCAGTATAACTCGAAATCTCTATTCCAGATATACAAGTCATAGGCGGTCTCTAGCAAGACACTATGACAATCTATCTCGACTAGAGTTTGTTCGTGATCTTACGAACGCCAATGATGATTTCGGCTGATGATCCTTTTGTATCGCGATATCATATGTCGAACATAAGGCATGGGCAAGCCACCTTATCTTATTCGACTGCTTTCTCGTTCACTGAGTTCGACTGTTTGAAATAGACGACGCTCGTCTATAGTGCGGCCACACATTTCTACAGTCTCACTCACACGAGAGGCCCAACGATATCTCTCTCTTTTACGAGAGGTACAAATCCCATCTTGACTATCTACAATCCAACAATGATTCGTTTCGTACCTGATACACGCCTTTATAGTCCTCCTGTTACGCAGGACGTTTGATGTATTCAAAGCACACAACTCCTCATGTTGGATTCCGTAGATATCTCAGGTCTTAGAATCCAATCAGGCAACCGCCATATGAGATTCAAATCATGACGCTAGTCCATGTGACAATCTCATGCGGGTCAATCCGGTATTCCGTTCTCCGACGAATACCTATGATTGTGATCGTATCCAATACCTATGATCATCTCTATGGTCATCAATCACACATCATACTAGTCTTATTATATCAATATTTCCACAATGATATACGACTAGAGAGTTTAGTATTGTTCATAACAATATATAGATTTCATAACATATTAAAACATGCATAATATGTAATGAATCAAACACTCATCCATAAATCATAGAAAGCGTCAATACATCAAATGTATCCAAGTAAAGCTCGCAAACAGTACACCATAAAGCACTAAACCAACAAAAGGATCAACGTGGAGATGTATTGGCAACATATATAATTGAAAAGCTCTAATTATTCTCAAACTTTTTTTTGTTAAAATGTAAATTTATAAATGAGAATATAGTTCTTTACAATCCAGCATTAGCTGTAAAACAAAAGTATTCAGAAACCTATGACAAGTGGACAAGCAAAATAAAAGCTTGACTATGGTGATATTATGACTAGGAACTAGGAATCTGATTGGTGCACATATGTTGTTCGGTGGTGTGTTGCGTCAGGAAAAACCAATCCTCAAGAGTGGTGGTTTGCTGAGGCCTTCCCTTACTACATAGTAGAAGTAACGTGTTTCGCATGAGACGATCGATTTTTCATTTGATCACTTGTGGTGGTCATTCAGTGTTTCGAAAAATCTGATTGTTCCTTTCTTTCCAAACCTTTTCAAACTTGATAAGTGATACTACCCTTAATGTTGTTTTTTGGTGTCATAATAATTCTTAATCTAAATTGACCAAAATAATATTATTATAGAACTTTACGTAGTGCGTGAGGTATCTAACACTTCAGAATTTTGTGTCATATATGTAGAACCGAATAACAAACTCGATTTAACAAAATCGATTTGAAACAATAATAAACCCGGTTTAATAAAAAATCCTAAACCGATTCGGAATGTGATTCTCGATTCAGAAGGAAAGTCTTCGTCTTTGGCGATTCTGAGAGTTTATCGGTGTGACTCAAAGAATTTTTTCTTGGTTCAAGTATTTTGTCGAACAGATTGTTTACGAGCCAACCGAAACCCTCCCGTAAAACTTAAACCTCCTCGAGATGCCCAGTGAGAAACTTAATCAACAAAAAATAAGAGGAAAAATTGGTGAGAAATGTCGAAAATCAAGTGAGCTCTCTCAAAAATAGGTAAAGCTGGTTTATACGAAGTCTTCCAAAATCCTTCACTCCATAACAAGTTCTATATCAAGATCCAAACAAAATAACCTCTAAACCCATTTCATATTCAGACAATAACATCATGAGATAACTTAAAAGTAATGAAATTGATGAAAATCCGATACCTTTTTGGTCTTAAACGCATGGAAGTTGATGAGTCGTCCGTATCAATCGATGTTCGAACCAGCATCAGCTTTGGAGGCGAGAAACGCCGCCGAGCAAAACAAAGAGTGATGAAGGAGGAGAAGCATAAGACAGAGACAAAGGGGACGAAACATAGAGAGTCGTCGGAACTTCAATCAAATTCAGACATGACATTTCCGAAATAAATCCGCTCGACGGCGACGAGAGAAATCCGGTTCTATGACGACACGTAAGATTCTTCTGTAACAATATTATTTTGATCAGGTTAAGGATTATTATGATATTAATAAACAACATCACTACAAAAAAAACCCTTCATATACGGACGTAATTTGCGACGAAAATTTTCGTCTTATAGAAAATTGCGACGAAATGCAACGATTTTGTGACAGAATGTCGAAAAAAATTATCCGTAGTAAACAGTCGCAAAATCCGTCGCAATTTGCTATGATTTGCGATGATAATTCTGTCACAACAAAAACAGATGATTTGCGACAAAAATTTTAAAAATTGCGACGGATTACGACGGAATTATCCGTCACTTTCCGTCGCAAAACCCAGATTTTTCCACGCAATTGTGCGATAGATTAACGACCATTATACGTTTGCGATAGCGTTATAGAGATGGAAATGTGTCCGTCGTATTCCGTCATAAATTCTTAATTGCGACGGATATTTCCGTCGTTATATGACTGTTTTTTTATTAGTGCATTAGAAATTACAGTATCACTCTTATCAAATTTAAGAATAATTAGGCACAATCAATGGTATGATAATATTCTACCTATTTATAAGTTTATAAATTTTGATAAATATTTTCTATAATAAAAAAGCACATCTATGTAAAATTTAATTATTAAAATTCGGTAGGAAAAGGGTATGTTTTTGTTAAACTTAAAAAGAAAAATAGATCCTTTATTCCTGCACCATTCAATCAACATATATGTGCCTAAAATGTTATGTTTATTTTAATTAAAAATTTCTTTATTCCTTATTCAACCATGATTTTCTTAATTTAAAATTTAATCAAATTATCTTGTCTTATTCAAACTTTTAAAATTTATTATTGTTTCCAATTTTTGACACAATACTATTTGTCATATAAAAAAGAACGCTGCTTGTCACAACCACATCAACGTCCTACCAATTTTTCATTAATAATATTTTATTTTAATCCTTTCCCTCGTTCCAAGCTTTTATTCGGTTATTTCTTTAAAAATTTTAAAATTTGTAAATAATATATGAACATTGTGAATTTGAACTTTTTATTAGATTTGTAAAATATAAGATGCCATTTCAATTTGTAGCGATACTGCGATGGTTGAATAGTTTTCCGCCTTTGAAAATATTATTTTTTAAAAAATATTTTATGAATAGTAATCCTTAAAAACATTAATTATTACCAAAATGGGTGTAGTCTAGTGTTTTCTTTGCAATACCAACAAATAATTTGTTGTTTTAGCTTTGCATATTTTTAGCATTGTATCATTGGAATTTGGAGAGACCATAAAATTTGGAGAGAGAAAATTCACTAATTAATTAAATTAATTAACCATCACATAAATATTTATTATCGGGATATTTTGCAAAATATACCAGAAAAGTAATTTAAAAGGCCCATTAGAATATAATTTAGCAAATATATTTTTTAAGATATAAAAAATCTTTGTAAAAGATAACAAAATAAATATGAAAATGTATAATAATAGGACAATATCTTTTATTATGTCCCGACGATATTTAATAATCTAATTAATTATTACAAAGCCGCAAATTATGCTTATGGGCAAGTGGGGAGCACGATGATGCCCTCGTGCCAACGATGATTAAAATCAATATTCCCTCTCTCTCTCTCTACAATAATATTCCTTTTTTCTTCCTCTCTTTGCCAATAATATTCTCTTTTTCATATTTACACGTGTTAGAATCTAAAATCCTCTAATATTATTACATTATATTTACGCTTAAAAAATATTAAAATAAGCCTTGAAATTATAAACGTATATAGTGACATTAATTTCACACAGGATCTCATTTTCGGCCACGCTCTTGTTGATTCTATTTGTCGTCGATAATCTGTATATAACCGAGTATTTAAAACACCCCACAAATATTCAAAACCCCGACATTTGAACAATTTGAATATAAAAAACAGAATTTGAACCTCAAAATACGTAAAATTTGGGTTTCAAATTAGATATTTCCTATCCGTACCCAACTTTACAATACCACATTCCCAACATTTAATAGCATAAAACCCAACAAATCGTGGACGAGTGGTCAAGTTTGGGGTAGGATGTAACTCCATCTTGAGGTTGAGTGCTCGATTCTTAACTGGTGAGGAGAGAGGTAATTTCTGAGTTTATATGATCCATATACAAAGGCTGCTCCTGGATCGGAGGTTTACCTAGTCAGCACGCCAGTAGTGTAGCAGATAGGGTTCCTCAATTATAAAAAATTATATTTAATAGCATAAATCATTTTTTAAACGGAGCGAGAACTATTATTAAAAAAAAATCATTGGCCATTCGCCGAAACGCAATGATTGGAGGCGTTTTCCAAAACGGCGTCGGATGGGCTTTCGTCGTCAATGAAAACGACGTCGTTTCTCTCACGCTTGCCTCGTCGCCATCGCTTTATTTATCAGTCTCCCTCCGAGTTCTGAGCGCATCTCTCTCTCTTGTTGACCCCGAAAACTTCTCCCACAGACAGATCTCAGCTCGAATCTGTGAGATCTATTCATTTTCGGACATCATTCCAACAAATCCAAAGGTAAATCCATACTTCGCGTTTGATTATCTGCTGTCCGAGCTTGTTACAGCTCTCGCTAGGGTTTCGGATCATCCTTGGTTCTGATCTGCTCCGTTTTGTTTCAGATTAGAAGCCATCGCTTCGGATCTAGGAGTCTCCGCACAGGTTGCGGTGTCCTGAGTTGACATATGCTCTGTCTGCAGATCTGGGTTTGGTTGCGCTTCTGTCTGATTTTTGCTGATTTGAAATGTCGGTGTTGCTCAAAGACGACTCGATTCTGATTCGTGAGGTTTGGAACGACAACCTTGAAGAAGAATTCACGTTGATCCGTGAAGTTGTTGATACCTACAACTATGTAGCCATGGATACCGAGTTTCCGGGTGTGGTTTTGCGTCCTCTCGGGACTTTTAAGAACATCGCTGACTATAACTATCAGACTCTCAAGGACAACGTCGATATGCTGAAACTTATCCAACTTGGGCTAACTTTCTCAGATGAACATGGCAATCTTCCCACTTGTGGGACGGATAAGTTCTGCATCTGGCAGTTCAATTTCCGTGAGTTCAATCTCAGCCAGGATGTCTACGCGAGTGAATCAATCGATCTGCTGCATCAGTGTGGGATCGATTTCAATAAGAATAACGAAAAGGGTATCGATGTGAAACGCTTCGGCGAGCTTCTGATGTCATCTGGGATCGTTTTGAACGACGCTGTGAGTTGGGTTACCTTCCATAGTGGGTACGATTTTGGGTATTTGCTCAAGTTGTTGACCTGCAAGACATTGCCACAGTTGCAAGCAGAATTTTTCAATCATCTCAACATTTACTTCCCCGTGATTTATGACATCAAGCATATGATGAAGTTCTGCAACAGCCTCCATGGTGGATTGAACAAGCTCGCAGAGCTGTTGGAGGTGGAGAGAGTCGGTGTTTGCCATCAGGCCGGGTCAGATAGTTTGCTCACATCGTGCACATTTAGGAAGTTGAAGGATAGCTTCTTCAATGGCTCGACCGAGAAGTATGCCGGTGTCTTGTACGGTCTAGGTGTCGAGAATGGCCATAATGTTTCTGCTAACTGAAATGAAAGGAAACCAAGTCGTGGGATTGCATAGATTTGCTTTAGTCTTTGTGAGTGTGAGGCCAATAGATTCTGTTTGTATACATTGGCAAGAAGATTATTGGTTTAGTTGTCACTCTGTTGTTTCTTGTTGCTTTTGTTTCAGAAAAAAAAAACTCTGCCTAATGGGGGTGTTGTAGCATGAGTTTCTGAATGTATATCAATGCAGCTAGTGTTTTAATAAGATTGTCTCTTTCTTTCCCACACATCATACTAGTGCTTTTTCTTGTTCCAGCTTACAGGTTAATTCAATTCTCGGGTCGGTGCAAGGTGTAGGCCATGGCACGAGAAGGAAGGACATGTTCCAGTAAGTTGTACTGATCAAACCTTCTTGGTTTCTGTTTCTGTCATGTAAGATGTAAGGAAATCATTGTTTCCTTCATTATTCCCGGTGTTAGTTGACGTGAAGATTCGAGAAGATCGTTAGAAGGATAAATAACGGATGGCAGACGCAGGAAATGGGTGAATCATTTTCATGATTCTGTTGAATTCTCTCGCTGAAACAGAAAGACCAAAGGAACTGTTCTTTTGTTACCTGTTGGCATCTGTTGATATGCAAGTAGAGATCATTTGTTCTTGACTTCAGTTTGTGAAGAGGTGTCCCAACACTTGGGCCATTGGGATATCTTCTTGTTATATAAGCCTTGTGGTTTCAGTTTCGGGCACCCGTGGGTTTTACGACGGGTTTATTGGGGTGGAGAACCCGAACTCTGTTTCGTGTTTGGATTTCGTCCGGTGATTATCTGTACCAGTGGTAATCCGAATCGAGGGGGGGGGGGGGGACTTCGAGATATTAGGGTTTCACGATGGGTTTATTTTTCTCTGTTTGATTTCGAGAGGGTGAGAGGTTGAATGACGATTTATGCTCGTCACAGCTCGCCGCTCGGCCTCACGCACACTCTTCGGATCAGGTGCGTCTCCTCTCGACTATCATTGCTTCAGCCTCTGGTCTCGGGTTTCGACTCTCACCCATATTAGCTAGAGAATCAGCAATGGAGGAATCAACAATGGTGGAAGCTTCAACTTCAGATGAGGAACAGACAGGTAGACATGTAGCGGACATTGCAGAGAATCAATCAGAGAAAACCGTTCCATCCTCTTAGTGTTTCCTCATAGGTTGATATAGGTTTGTTATTCTGTAATTATTACAGGGTAGAGTAGCTATTCGTACAGGGCATTTTTGGTACATGCTGTAACTATATACATGGAACCTCATACATGAAAAAATTTTTCCTACACAGTTGCTTTTTCGTTCCTTTTCTTCTTCGATATGGCATCTGTTCTGGATGCCTGAAAATCTCACCTCGACACCTTCGTCTTGTTTTCAGGGGCGGCTGGCCAAACTCTCTCCCCGCTCTACGTATATCCAAATCCGACGCTTGTGAAACGAATCGGATGGTTCAATTGACATTCCCGAGAAAACCGAGACTGAGATCAGTATACCAAAAACCTCGGGTTAACCGGCCGGGGCCCACCCCTGATTTGTATTCATACACAAACGTTTTGTTGTGTATATGTGTATTATATGTAACTTTTGTCTCTAAACAATATGTTCTGTTCTATTGGTGTTAAGTCTTTCGCTTTGCCGTCCGAAGGCGACGAATAGTCTTTTGTAACTTATTAAATTAAATTAGAATGAAAAATAAAGTCATGGATTTCAACCTAACGGAATGTTCTAATTACAGAAATGCCACTTCATTAGCAAGCTTCCAGCGTTTCTTCTCCTGCTTCTCCCCGAGAATCTTCCTAAGAAGGTGTCTTTTTTTTTTTTAACGAACGAGTAGAGGACTCGGTGACGCGACTCCTTGGTTTCTTCTCGCCGAGTCACGCCGTATCTACTCGCTCGTCTTCTTCCTCCACCGAATCTCTCGATCAGGTCAGTTCATTCTCTTCGTTCTTCTTCGAGTTTTCTGCAATTCCGGATCTAGGAGCACCGCGATCGCATCGGGTTCGATCCGAATCCGATCCCTCACCATGTGCGATCGAAGGCCCGTTTTCGTCGGGTCCTTTGTCTTCGGATTCCTCCTCTTCTTCGTACATGCCGGTCAGGGATGCTCCAACACCAGCTCCTTGGCCGGCTTTGAGTCGGAGTTCAGCATGTTGCAGCACCAACTGCGAGGAGCTTTCACCATTGTCGATGATTGCTCGTTTAGGGTTTCCCGCTTCGATATGTTATCTGGTTCGGATGTTCGTTGGTGGGGAGCATTGTACTCTGATTTTGAGAATATGACCAATGGGTTCGTAATTTCTGATCAGAAGCTTAATCAAACGTTAAAAAATGCTTCCTTCGTCGTTCATTTGCTTGAAAATGTCACCTGGGACAAAATAGGGGTGATCTCTGTGTGGGACTTGCCTACATCATCGGATTTTGGGCATGCTCTGCTCTCAAATGTCACAGAATTGGCTTCAAGTCAAAATGCCGAATCACCTCCCTCAGGGGATGACAGTGTTGTCTTGGGGGGATCAAATAACAGTGTGACTACTAAGTCTTCTACCATGTTTGACAATTGCAAGCAACTCTCCGACAAGTACAGGCTCCGTTGGAGCTTGAATGCAGAGGAGGGTTATGTCGATATCGGTCTAGAGGCCATTGCTGGGTTCCTGAGCTATATGGCGTTTGGTTGGGCAAAACCCAATTCTACATCAGAACTGATGTTGGGCGCTGATATTGTGGTTGCTGGGTTTAGGGAGGAAGGCTTTCCATTTGCTGATGATTTTTACATCACAAAGTACAGTGAGTGCTCGGTTAAGGATGGTACCGCCTCTGGGGTCTGCCCCGATGCAGTGTATGGAGGATCGAATTCAGTTGGTTCATTGACGAATAACACAAAACTGGTTTACGGGCACAGGAGAGATGGAGTTTCATTTGTAAGGTATAGGAGGCCATTGAACAGCAGTGACAATAAGTACGATTTGCCTGTGAATCCAACCGAGAAAATGACAGTTATTTGGGCACTTGGGTTAATAAAGCCACCGGATAGTATTAATCCTTACTATCTCCCTCAGAATCATGGCGGTGTGGAATCAGAAAACTACGGTCACTTTTCGCTTAATCTATCGGAGCGTGTGGATGAGTGTTTGGGACCGTTGGATGCAGAAAATAAGGATGTTCAAGATCTGATCATTGCTGATGCCAATGCACCTCTTGTTGTCACCGCTGGGCCGGCTGTGCGTTATCCGAACCCTCCAAACCCTTCGAAAGTACTTTATATTAACAAGAAAGAAGCACCGCTCTTGAGAGTGGAAAGAGGGGTTCCTGTGAAATTCTCAATACAAGCAGGACATGATGTTGCTCTTTACATAACTTCAGATTTTCTCGGTGGGAATGCTACACTACGGAACAGTTCTGAGAAAATCTACGTGGGTGGGGAAGAAGCTCATGGAGTTCCTGCAAGTCCATTGGAACTGGTTTGGTCTCCTAACAGGAATACACCGGACCAAGTGTATTATCACTCTGTTTATGAGCAGAAGATGGGTTGGAAGGTTCAGGTCGTTGATGGGGGCCTCTCGGATATGTATAATAACAGTGTTGTCTTAGATGATCAACAAGTTAAGTTCTTTTGGACCATATCAGGAGATTCAATATCAATTGCAGCTCAAGGTGAGAAGAAAAGTGGGTATCTTGCGATTGGTTTTGGTGGCGGAATGGTGAATAGTTACGCTTATGTTGGCTGGTTTGATAGCAATGGAACAGGGCGTGTAAGTACTTACTGGATTGATGGACAGGATGCATCCGACGTGCACCCAACAAACGAGAATCTGACATATGTGAGATGCAAATCTGAAGACGGGATTATCACTTTGGAGTTCACCCGCCCTTTGAAACCTTCGTGCAGTCATAGTGGTCGGCCAGAGTGTAAGAATCTGATCGATCCCACAACTCCTGTTAAAGTGATATGGGCAATGGGTGCAAAATGGACCGATGAACAGCTGACAGAGAGGAATATGCACTCGGTTACTAGTCAGAGGCCTGTTCGTGTAATGTTAATGCGCGGATCTGCAGAAGCAGAGCAAGATCTACTACCTGTCTTGGGCGTGCATGGATTCATGATGTTTCTTGCTTGGGGAATCTTACTTCCCGGTGGGATATTAGCTGTTAGATACCTGAAACACATCAAAGGTGATGGGTGGTTCAAGATTCATGTGTATCTCCAGTACTCTGGCCTAGCCATTGTCCTCCTCGGCCTCCTCTTTGCCGTGGCTGAACTTCACGGTCTCACCTTCAGCTCAATACATGTCAAGTTCGGGTTTGCGGCCATATTCCTGGCATGCTCCCAGCCCGTGAATGCATCCCTAAGGCCTCCAAAACCGGCTCAAGGACAACGGTTCACTTCCAGAAGACTATTGTGGGAGTATTTTCATGCGATTATTGGCCAATCTGCTGTTGTACTTGGAGTCATTGCGCTTTTCACGGGAATGAAACACTTGGGTGAACGTTATGGGGCGGAAAACGTGCACGGGCTCAACTGGGCACTCGGGTTATGGATCTTCCTCGGCGCAGTTGCTGTTGTGTACTTGGAATACAGGGAAAGATGCAGAAGAAGAGCGAGAAATCTCAGCGGAAGCAGCTGGGTCTTGGGAAATCTCGACGAAGAAGATGACTCGGCCGATCTGATTAACGCGAGAAGAGGTTTTAGAGAGAAAGAGGACGAGGAGAGATCGGGAGGAGGGACGATGGAAATTCAGTTAGAGCCATTGGCCAGAGATGACAGTTGACAGTTGCAGAAGCAGAGTTCTCGTCTCTCTTTTTTTCTTTTTTTTTTTATAAAGTGATTACAGAAGAGAAATTACCAAATTCTTTTTGCCAATGTACAACACAAACGAAGAAACAGAGTCCATAATGTATGTATACGTTGATACTGCCAATAGAACATAAGAGGATGAGAAGATCTTCTTCTTCTTCTTCTGCAACCCTAACTAACATCAAACTATTTATTATCATCCACCTGGTTGATGTAAAACCAAAAGATTATTTTTTAATTATTCAACCCAAACAATTACAACATTATAAAATTGGTGTTATAATCTGAGCTCTCGAACAGGAGAATTACATCGAGAATCTCTCGCAGTTTCTTGATTACATTAATATCTCGAAGGGAAAAACGGCTTCGTGAAATCAAACCGCCTTTGCCAAAAACACCCCACAATCCTAATTCTGCAGTTGCTCTATTACATGAACTGAGATTGGTCTACAAGAGGCCAATCCTTGCATTAAAAAAAATGTGTTACAATTAGCCAAATGAATTGACTCTAATGCCTCACACTTGGATTTGTTCTCTCTCTCTCTCTTCTACCATTTGCTACTGCTACTCTCACTGCTCATCACTTCGACGGAACCATAGTGAAGCAACTCCTCTATCATTTGCTCGATCTGATCTTCTTCAAGTGGCTTGAGCTGTTGCTGCAGAATCACGTTTTCAACCCCCCAGTTCGTCCCCTCCGCGTTTGCGTCAGACGCAGACGCAGACGCACAGACTCCTACGTTCTCACAATTGGCGCCGTCAGATTCCGCCGGTTTCTGAAGCGTCTGACGGAACGGCGTTCGCGGCGGCGGCGGCGGCAGCAGTCTCGCGGTCTGCGTTTGCGTCAGTTTGCTCGTCTGGAGAGAAGCCTTGTAGCATTTGTGGAGCTTAGCGGTAAGGGTCGAGGAGAGGATCTTGGACGAAGAATCTTGTGGTGCGTTTGGGTTGTAAGGGAAGTTGGTTCGAGGAGTCCCCGTGCCGCACATGAGCCTCGCGGCCTCGTCGTATGTCCTGGCCGCGTCCTCCGCCGACTCGAACGTCCCCAACCAGATTCGCGTTTTCCTGCAACCAGAACGCTAAAACATAATTAGCCTCTGTCCGTCACCTCCTACTACCCGCGCTTGCGTTTGTCAGCGTTTTGAAACGCAGAAAGCGAGAGAGATGGAGAGATTACAGTAGAGGGTGGCGAATTTCAGAGACCCATGAACCCCAGTGCCTCTGTCTCACGCCTCGGTACCGTTGTTGCGGTCTCGCCATTGGTAACCAGTAAAAAAAAAACTTTTTTTTTTGGAAAATAGATGTCTCTGTAATAGAAAGGTTTCAGGTGGTGTTGTGTTTTTCTCAAAGTCTGTTAAGATGTCTGAAAGAAGAAAGTGATCACAGTGGGGAGAGCGCGTTTGGCGTTTCGAAGTGTCCTTTAAATAGTTGCTTGCCTCTTCTCTCTTCGTATGAGAGAGAGAGAGAGATTTTCTTGGGCAATTAACTCATCAATTTGGGGGTGAAATTGGGTCCCACAAGAATTGTTCCTTCTCCATTTCTTTATTCGTTTATGTAAAAACAATATGGATTATTTTAGTTTTCCGTTAAATAATAGTTTTTTTATTGTATAATATATATACATATACATACACGTATCCATTGGTTTCGATTTGATTGCCAATTGTGTACAAGTTGGGATCCCTTCATTGTTGAATATAAGATTTTCTTGGCTGCGGTGGAACTTTAAACTCATTTTCACATGATGCCTTCGTGTCCTTATTCCCTTGATGTCGACGGTTTTCTAAAATAAATTTATTTTCCATGCAATAAAAATTGATAATTTAAGAAATTCATTTAATGATTCGAGAGACTCTCATCGCCATTCTCTCTTCACCCCCATGTGCGCTTCGGATAATGACTCAGATTAAAAAAAAAACAAAATTTTCTTTGGTTCTCGGCAAATATTTATTTTATTTGATTTTTTTTGTTGTTTTCCGTTTTATAATTAAAATTAAAACGGCTATATCTGCGTTTGGTATATATATTTTTTTAATGAAAATACATATAATCTCGTCCAATCGAATCCAACTCAATATAAAAATCATAAAAAATTCGAATGAAAATATTTTTTTCTAAAATATAAATATTATTTTAATAAAAATCGAACGTAAATGTATTTAGAAAATATGAATGAACCAAACAAATGCTTACATGATTGGGTCAAATCCGATGTTTGGGACAAATTGATTGATGGAAGAATCTCTTTATCATAATTATAATTATTACACAGAGAAATCCAAATCATTTATCTTCTCTCTCTCTCTTTTTTCTCTATTTACACTCTTTGGAAATGCTGATTTTTTTTTTTTGGTGCGTGTGTCTAGTTTCAGTTTAATTATTTATTTGGGATTCAGTTTTTTTATTTCAAAAAGTGTATTTATTCAATTTTTACATGAGATTTTGATTTATCTTAGATCTCATTTGGGTTGAATTTTCCATAGCTAAAATAATACTCCCTCCATTTCAAAATATTTGTAGTTTTAACTTATTTTCCATGTTTCAAAATATTTGTTATTTTATATTTTCAAGACATTTTTTTTACAATAGTTTCCAATTTTATCCCTATTAAATTCTAATAAATTATTAATGATAATATTTTAGTTTTTAGGTTCAATTTTTTTCACTTATTCTGTAATTTCTATATTTGATTCGGATTGCATCCACAATCATATTTAATTGTATTTTTAAAAATCATATTTAATCGTTCTTTAGATCGTAACAGTTTCGAATAAAATAGTATTCTATTCAATTCTGTTTTATATATTCCAAAATTGAAATATATATACCCATAATTATCATTTTCACATAAATTAAGTCCCCTATATTTCTATCTTGGATTATTGATAATTTACAGTATCTACAAGCTCGTATTTTACACACATACGTACACGATGTAATTCATGCATCTCCTAAATATTCAATAATTCATATCTCCTTGCCATATTGTTTAATGAGCTCGATTCCAAATGTCATAGATTTTCAGGTTCAGTTCAGAAACATAAGTTAGAGATACAATGCTATCATGTGCTTACTTCAAGAAAAAAAAATTTCATCTATCATCTTCAATTCTATGAACAGAAATTTCGAAAATAATCCGATTTGGGACCCATTGATGATCGTGAAGGAACCTTAGTCTTATCAAATCGAAGTATATCAATAAGTTGGAAATATCATCCAATTGAAAGAATACAATGATATGTAGGGCGGGTCACAGGTCCAATATCCGACAACTTGAGAAAATCCATCCTCTAATTTGCACGGTTAGGCTTTTATGGTTCGGAACTCAGTTTGGATTTCGTATTTTTAGCATATCCAAGTTTGAGGCATTTTACATATATCTTAAATGTTCGAGTATCCGTGGATATACCTGTAAGACTTGGATGAGGGTGAAGGAGGAGAAATTCGAAACCGAGATCGATAGGAGACAAAAAGAGCGACATCAATGAGAAAGTAGTAAGAGAAATGTGTTGATATCGTCTATATCTGAACATGAATCCGAACCCGACGTTAGGGCAATCTCTCAACAAATTCGAGCTCATCTTATTTACATTATCAATTATCTGATTTTCGAATATCTGACACGTCCTGAAAATTGGATATTTTTGCTAGGTCCTCTTGACTTGTGTACGAGTTCGAACATGTCCCAATTGGAAACACCTCTCCCTAGGATTATAAGCTTTTACAGGATGAGGCAGCGGCCTAATCTGCTTAAATACCAACCTAATCCGTCTTAATCACTGCCTAACCACCGTCTAATTAATTACTCTCTAAACGAAACGACGTCGTTTTACAAAAACCTAGAAAATTTCATGAAAGATTATTTTCAAATCATATAAATATGAAGAAAATAAATTCGCGTTGATTTTTTGAGTCTTACGATAAGCACAATTTAAAAAGAATATAAAAAAGAAGACATGTTAGATATATAAAAAGAGCGTGTGTTTATGTTGAAGAATTTATCTTTTCACAATGTTCGTGTGACTATTGTTTTCTTTAGTTATTTTTCTTATGCATGGACGGTTGTATACATATATATGAAGACCATTTGCCCACGCTGAATTAAACAAAAATAATAATAATAAAATCTTGTATACAAATAAAATGAAATATCGTTAGTATTCTTTTACCAAAAAGAAACCATCGAAATTTGCTTGTATGCCCTAATAACCATTTTTCTGGATCCGAAACTGTTAATATGTATAAGTTATATATTTTTTTCCATAATCAATCTTAGCTAATCAAAAAGCTTAAATACGCTACATGCAATTAAATGTAAATTTTGTAATGATTTAAAAATCAATAAATCATTCGACAGAACATATAAATATATTTTTCCTTTCTTGGCCCTACTTTTCAATTGATGTGGCATACCATTTAGTTTGATGTTGTGTCCCAATCAATCATATAATGTTATACATATAACATGGCATTTCAGTCACACCTACCTTGTTGAAAGTCATTATTTTTACAATTGCTAATTAATTAATAAAATGGCAACCATTAGTTAAATAATGAAGAGTAGTTATATACATGGATTACGTAATTAAAAAATAATCGAATGACTATTAGGTCATGACACTATGAATCACTTTTTTTCTTCCTAATAATAAGCTATTGTATATGTATTTCTTTGAAACCTTAAGATTAATTCTTTGGCCATATATATAAAATTTTGTCATATGAATTGTTAGTAATATTATGATCACTTGTTGCCAACAACACTGAAATCAGAGTTAGTTATGTAAATCAATTATATAGATTAATAGTTTAATTAGTCTTAACTATTTAAATAAATTTATATTAATACGTTTTCCAATAATTTTTTTTGTAGATCTGGCGAGAGAGATTTGGGCGGCGAATGCATCCACTGCATAACGATGTATGTAATGAAGATTTCTGTATAAATTTGAGAGATTATGGCTGTAAAACAAGATAAAAGAAGTTAGAGCATAATGAAGAAAAAAACATTCGAGAGGGAAGCAAATTGGGACTAAGTCCCTTTATTCGTTACTTGTTATTTCTCATTGTATATATATGCATCAATATATAAAAATAAAATTGCTGAAGACTAGCTGTTACAAAGGGAAGAATAAAGACATAATATTTACAAATTGATTAGGAATATATTCTAGCTAATTCTACTCATCAAAGGGCTGGTTGATTGAAGTGCATGATAGTATCAAGATATCTTTTTTTTTTTTTGAAGAAAGTGATGTGTATTAATCTAGCAAAAATGTACATCCAGTCCAAGACTATATACAAAAGGAACCATAAGCAAATAGTCAAAATATGATAGAAATTTATAACAGAAAATAAAATGCGACAGCTATGGTGGTCTCAAGAAACGAGTGAGATAGAACCAGTCAGCCAAGAGAGAAGAGGTGACAGCTGTAGATGTGCATTTGACAGACAGGAGGATATTACGCATAACACGATCAACTTTCCATTTCAGATGCAGAATTGTACGGTTGATACCTCGAAATACTCTGTTGTTCCTTTCCTTCCAGACTTCATATACCGTAATCTGAAGCAATAATTTTGCAATTTTGCTCCGCCCTCGCGTTGCGTCATTTGTGTCGATATTGAACCACTCCACCATCCCTGTCGTGTTCTTTGGTGCGTTCGGCCAGCACACTTCAGCAAAGTGGCTCCAAATGCTAGAGGCGTAACTGCACTCAAAGAACAGATGGTGGTGAGATTCAACATCCAAATTACACAACCTACAGCACGTATCCGAAGTAACTCCCCATCTTTGAAGTCGATCCTTTGTTGGTAGCCGCTGTTGTATAACTTGCCAAAGGAGGATAACATATCTGGGGATACCAAACGAGAACCATACAATATTATGCCAGGGCACAATTTCTTTATGAAGTCTAATATGGTTCCATGTTTTAGAAGAAGAGAAGAAAGCTCTGTAATCATCATCTTTGAATCTCCACAAGACCATGTCAGGCGGACAACTAGCTTCAGGGGGTGGATGGTGGATATATGGACCATCATCTGTTGGGTTTTGTCGTTTCTGGCTGCCGACAACGACCAGGAACCCTTTATTGCAGCTTCACTCACAGTTTCCAAGTGCGGTAGTCTTAGGTTACGCGACCCAGCCGAACCAACAAATTCAATCAGCGGTCCAATGCTAGTCCACAGATCATACCAAAACAATGTTTTTTCACCGTTCCCAATCTGAAACTTTAGCATATGCTTCACTAACACCTTAGTGTTCAACAATTTTTGGAAGTTCCACGAAAAACGCGGTGAGTATTGGATGAGATTTGTTTGAAGATTTCCTCATCCTTTCCTTATTTATTTGGTCTTCAACATGTAATGGTGTGTAATTAGCCCTTACCGAAAAGCAAGGCTTACCTCAC